GGAAAGGATTTATGCTGTGGAAACCCTTGGCGTGGAAACCTTTGGCAAATTGACCGCGTTACTTGCATATTGGAACTGAAAGAGGAAGATACCGATGTAAGTGATTTATACAGGTTTGCGGGCCTCTTAAATGCCAAGCGCCCCCAACGCCCGCAATGGAAGACAAATCTTCCAATTATAATTCCCCGGTGCAGTTATTCAGATTGTATTATGCGTGAATCTGGAAAAAAAATGTTAGCCAAGAGTACGGTAAAATAAGTGTATGGAGTGCATACCTTGAGGAAAACTAAAACACTTTATCTCTATGACTAAAGGTGCGCCAATCGAAAAATAAGGAATATACAGGACAGAGAAGAAGGAAGATCGACTCATTACTGCGATCTATCAAGTAGCCCATGTATTGCTACGGGCTTGTGAGAACGAATATTTTGTATTTACCAGCGTCTGTTTTTTTTCCCGAATTCAAGTGTGTAATAAATTCGTTTAGTTTTATTAGACTTCGTTTGTCTTCCGGCAATTATTTACGCTATTCTGTACATTAACCTTGTGCGCACGCGAGTTTTCACCGGGAGATTTGACAGGCCGCGCGACGACATTCGTTGAGAAACGCCGGTGAAAAATACTTCTTTTTAAGTGCTGCGTCGGTCCCGGGTCATTTTAAAGCCATATTGTGGATATACAGGATAAATAGGCGTAAGTCTCAATCAGTCTGATATTTGAGCCCGAAAAGTGCCCCAAAGGCCGAAAAAGCGAGGTATTTGTTTCCGAGAGCGACGTACCCACCAGAGACGAAGTCCCAAATCCAGGATAGCATGCGAACCCAAAATCCAAACCTAACCTTTCTTACCTTTTATTCAGTCTCTAGACAGGGGGGGGGGGGGCAAGCCTCCTATGTGCTCCCTTTATCAACACCTAGTGTGAGCGGAGACATGCAGAGGGGTATTTTCGAGATTTCCCAATAAATGTGAGGCTGCTACAGATATACCTGTATTCAGTGGCGTAGATAGAGGGGGGTCAGGGGGGGAGGGGCGGAAAACCCCCTCTTGAGCTAAACTGCCATTTTGTCGGAAAATTGCTAATCTTGTCGGAAAATAATCATGAAGAAACGAAAATGCTTATTGAATTTTGGTCGGAAAATCTGTATTTCTCGCCCCCCCCCCCCCCCTATAACATTTCCTATCTACGCCACTGCCTATATTGCTTCCTACTCTATTTTTTATGCTCTGTAAGATGACCGTGTCCATTTCCCACTATGTCAGTGTATCGCTCTCGGTAACATTAATCAAAAGGGATTAGAAACCAAGTAATTCTGACCGTAGAAGGAAGCGAAGAAAAGTTCGGTGTTTCGCTATATAAAGGTATGTGGTTTTAACCTCGGGGTCCAGGCTAGATGATATATAGATCGTATTTTCCTTAAGCTACGCGTATATATTACTAAAGGGGGCCGGGGGCTCTGCCGCCTTGGCCCCCTTTAGTAATATGTGCGTCTATATGCATATAATACCACGGGGGTCCAGGGAATATATAGATCGTAGTTTATAAATCCCACAGTTTAAGCTGGTTTATTGGTTTGGACGTACTGTTAGATTACCACAGGGGATCTGGATTATGTGAAATCCCGTAGATTTTATTTATTATTTTCCACTTCATGGAAACTTTATTATTGCCGTTTATTAGCGATCTCCTCGATATTCATCCCCCAAAGAAAACCCGGTTCCCCATGGGATCCCCCAAGATTGTTTGCCTGAGTTTGGGACTTTGTCTCTGACGGGTGCGGTCCTCATTTAAACTTTTACCCAAGTCAGATGTAATGCATTACAAAAAGTTCGTCCGTCGGAACGACGATGACCATCTGGTTATCCAATGTTATGTGTGCGGAGATGGCTCCTCAGGCCGATCTGCGCACGGAACCGTTTATGGCATTAAGGGTATGGAATGCCTGCGGCTTGTTGGTCTTTTCTGGTCTGCCTTCATTGTTCGGCTGTAGCAGTTCTATTGGCCTCGCAGATTTTGGCTTTGCTATGTAGATTGGATCTCCATGTACTCCGGTTCAAGGCCTCGTTCTCCCATGTGCTTGGGTTGATGTCAAGCGCTTCTTGGGTGCCCTGCGGGAACGCTTACCACGAGTCAATTCGCCGTAGAATAGCTTTTTGGGGAGGCGATAGTCTGGCATGCGCACTACATGTCCTGTCCAACGGAGCTGTGCCTGCATTAGCATGGTAAAGACGCTGTGAAGACCCGCACGAGCTAGGACCTCAGTGTCTGGAACTGTCCTGCCATCTGATGCCAAGCAATTTTCTGAGGCTGCATGTGTGAAAGTGGTTCAATTTCTTGGCGTGGCGTTGATCCACAGTCCAAAGCACTTGCCTTGGCTAGTCGTGCATTAACCTCATCGTCGATAACATGTCTGGACAGTGTGCTGCCAAGGTAGGTGAACTTGTCTATCCCTTTCAGACACTGTCCATTTATCGTGATGTTCGGTTCGGTATAAGGTTTGCTTGGGGCTGGTTGATGCATCACCTCTGTCTATTTTGTGCTGATAGTGAAGCCGGAGTTGTCGCAGGTAGTAGAAAACTTGTCGGTGCGAGAACACAGCCCTGCTGTGTATAATGCTAAACAGTCAAGGAATATTCCAAAAAGTTCTCAGAAATCTGTAGCTGGTTCAACCCCTCCACCCACAAAAAAAAAATAAAATAAAATAAAAAATAATAAATAAATAAATAAATAAATAAATAAATAAATAAATAAATAATAAATAAATAAATAAATATATATATATATATATATATGCATATACAAATTAAACAAGTTTAATTAGACCTGAAACAATTTGTACAAGTGACAGAGGTTAAAGGACATCCTCACCAGGTCGAGGCCTTTCCCGAAATTAATCGGTATTCGATGCCCATTCAGTAATAAAACCTGAAAAAGGTTGGAGCAAATCATTAAATCTTGCCAGTAATTTTCCAAGCAGTTTTCGTTTTTTGGTTGATCTGCACCTGTAATCAGAAGATTAATATCAATATCATTTATGTTTACTCGTCTTAGTGCATCTTTTAATTTTGTTCTGTGAGTTGAATCTTGGGCAGTGTAAAAACATGTGTTCTATAGTCTCTTCTTGGTTCTTGCACCATCTGCAGAAGGGGTCATTTTCCATTTTCATTCTGTACAGGTGTTGTTTTAGTCTTGTGTGTTTGTGTTTGGTTGTGAGTCTTGTGATGCATGAGTCTAGTTTTCTATACTTTGCTCTGGTCCATGGTTTATCTGTGTTGTCTTTGATGAGATAATTTTTTGTGCTTAGGATTCTTTTTAAGTTTAATTCCCATTGTTTGTTATTTTCTATCTTAATTTCTTTTATTATACAATTTGGGTCTGGTGGTATAGACATGGGATTATTCATTTCATGGGCTTTCTTTGCCGCTAGATCTACAATTTCATTTCCCTTAATGTTTTTGTGTGATGGAATCCACTGTATCATAATCTCTTGTTTTCGTGTTGAAAGAAAGTGTATATGTTTTTGTATTTCATATATGATTTGTTTATAATTTAGTGTTTTTTTTTTAATTAATTGTAGTGATGATTGGGAGTCTGTTAGTATTATTGTTTTTGTCAGTTTATTATTTATTACATATTTTAGTCCTTGTTTTATGGCAAATAATTCTGCGTGGATGATTTCTATTTTAGGAGGCAATTTTCAAATAGTTATATTTTTGTTTTGGATGTAGATTGCTGCTGAGGTTGAATCTGGTTCTTTTATTTTTGAACCATCGGTAAAAATTTTGTTAAATTCTTTGTAATTTATATTTATTAACTCCTGGAATTGTTTTTGAATAATTATTTGAGGAGTATTTTTTGTTATATTGTTCATAAAGTTTATTTGTACGTTTTCTGAAATGTCATACCATGGTGGTATTGGGGATATGTTTGGTGATTCATTTGGATTTATGTTTAGGTTTAGGTTTATTTTTGTTTCTGTAGCTCTGTAAACTAGTGCTCTTTTATCTCTTTGAGGATTATATTCATTTATGCATTTTGTTATTTGTTGTTTTACTGGCGTTGTGTTTGGTTTGTTTAGGATTTTTGTTAGTTGAATGCATTCAAGTTCTTTTATTCTGTGTGATAAAGATGGGATGTTTGTTAATGCTTGAAGAGCTAAGATTGGAGTTGTTCTAAAACATCCCGTTGCCAGTCTTAATATTTGGTTTTGTAATGTTTCAAGTTTTTTTAGTTCAGATTCTTTTGCTGCTCCATAAATTGTTAATCCATATTCGATTTTTGGTTTTATATATATTTTATAAAACTTTAATAGGGTTTCGCTATTTGCTCCCCAATTTAGTGAAGTTAGTTTTTTCATTATGTTTATTCTATCTACTTTTAAGTTTTCTTAATTTTTTTCCCATTTTAGTTTGGGGGCGTCTAAAGTTAGTCCTAAAATTTTATGGCTTTGAGTGTATTTGATTTCTATGTTGTCTATTCTTATTTTTGGTAGTTGGTTTATCTTTTTATTTGAAAAGCACATTAGTTTACTTTTTGAAAAGTTTATTTTCAGATCCCAGTGATTTGCCCATTCTTTTAACTTTTGTAGTTCTCTTTCTATTTTGTTTGAGGCTTCTAATAAGTCTTTATTACTTGTTAGTAGGGTTATATCATCAGCATATACTATCTTATCGATTTCTTTTGATAATTTTAGATCATTTAACATTATATTGAATAAAGTTGGGCTTATTGGTGAGCCTTGAGGTACACCACTTTTTATTATTCCTTTTTCGGAGGTTTGATTTCCAATTTTTATTTGGAAAGTTCTTTTTTCTAGCAGATTATACAGCCATTTTAGAGGTTTTCCCGTGATGCCTAGTTTCGACATTTTTATTAGAAGTGCTTCGTGATTAACTGTGTCGAAAGCTTTTTCTAAATCAATGCATGCTACAATTATATATTGTAAACGAACGAATGAACCACATCCTAAACACACACACTTGCTCAAAGATCGCCGCATGAACCCTCTCTATCTCGGGGCCCCGCTACCGAATACTGCATGACCTTAAACGGTATAGTAGAGCCTTATTTACAGGGTAGCATGATGAGTATTTTCTCCAGGACCCCAGGTTAAGGACTGCCTCTAGAAGCCAAAAAAGGAAAATTTCAATCTGTGGCAATAAGGATTATCTTAAAAAGTGTGTGGAGTGGTTACTTTAACGAAATCTAAGACGCTTTTCGTCAACGACAAAAGATGCACAGGTCGAGAAATAAAAGGAGATACACGACTGAGACGAGAGAAGATCGACCCATCATGTTTACGTTTCGAGAATCGAAACACATTGGTCAAGTAGTCCATGTATTACTACGCGGTTGGGAGAACGATCATTTTGTAATTGCCAAAGTCTGTTTTTACCTAATTCACGTATTTGATGCATTCTTTTAGTTTTACTGTACTAGTTTCACGTGTTTCAGTAATTGTTTACACTATTCTGTAGAAGAATCCTCTGCATATGCGAGATTTGACAGGCCATGCCACGCCACGCCAGAAAGTAGAAAGGCAGAGTGCGTGCGTGGCGCTGTGGTGCCTGAGTGCTGTAATTTTTCATTTCAAAATTTATGAAATGTTACCTTTTGTTGTAAGGATGTAATATGACATTTGTTTGTTTCCAACACAAGTGCTTATGGGAGGATAATCTGACCTTCAAACAAGAATAATATATGACTGATGAAATTTTATCTAGCATTTATAATATTGATCATTTACAATTTGTAGCAACTTGTTAAAAAGTACTAATTATTTGATGCCCTTTGTCCTCAGCATGGCTCACCTCTTATCTGTAATAGTCATAGTGGTGGCGGCGTCTAGATGCAGTGCAATCTTCCCATTTAATCTGGAAGCAGTTGACGTGGTGGTGACAAACGTAAAGGACCATCTCGATGATACCATCGACCCCTACTTAGTGCCCGCAGAACACGACACCTATGGCCAGAGCCCTTATGGATATGTCCCCCAGAAGTATGTGAATGAACCTATCTGCCCACTGTACATAAAACCTGTGTGGGAAGAAGCAGTGGTAAGTGTGCTTGTTAGGTTCTGGGTTCATTGCCAGACACGTTTACATTCTGAGGCTTTAACGTGTCTAGGTTGTATTATTCAGATCGTGATCTTTGATTTGGGATATTTTAGAAGAAAACTAAATCTCAGTATCTTAAATTTAGCAAGTTATCACAAGAGTCAAAGAAACAAACTCTTCTTTCTTCCCAATAAACAGGTGCAACAGGTTGTGCACTCTCTGGTCACAGTATGGGAGAAATTAGAAAAAACGGAATTTGTCCATGTGACTGAAACCTTGAAATATCCTGTGACAGTGATAAATCGGTCTACTGTTACAATACCTGCTCCGCCCATTTACAAGACCGAAACTATTGTGAGTAATGATTATGCGAGATTTTCTTCTGTGAAACTAGTATTTCTGATCTCGTATGCAGTATCCAAATACTTCATCCCAGCAGTTGCAAAGATTAACCTTTCAGCACCACTCCATTCCACTTTCCAGATAGTGCCGGAGGAGAAAACGGTAATGTCTGCTAGGATTGACACTGTTACATACACCATAACCCAGACTAACCTTGAGGCAAGTTCAAAGAACTTTATCTTAAATATAAATTGATACAGTATATTGCAGTTTCAATGACTATCATGATATACTAATACTAATAACCGCACTTCGCTCAACAGGTTATAACATACACACTAACAAATACAATCACTACAACAACCTTTGAAGCCGAATGGATTACCCTCACCGAGTACGAGACATCCTGGGAAACGGTGAACGTACCTGTGACTAGTATCACCACAGTCTGGACTCAAGAGGTGGGTTTGCATTGTTTTTATCTTTGAGGAACCAGTGTTATCTATTATAGTTGAATGATATGGCTGTGTTAACCCCTAAATGCTGGGTTTTATGCATTTTTCCCTCCCTGTGGCTGGGAGACGCGGCTATGGCTTTTGTGATATGTTGGCATTGTTGAATTATAAACATGCCCAGCTAAAGGAGGTGGTGGTGCCTGGTACAACTGTCAGCATAGGAGCTTTGACATAAAGTTCGGTAGCGGGTCGTGGAGACAGTTTACATGTTTATGGGTAGTAAACATGTGGAAAAAATCATGGTTCTCATAAACTATTGACCACAAGCGTACCATGGTGTTCAATGTACGATTTCAATGCAGATTTAGGTAAATGCTGTCTAGTATGCATTTACATTCTATCTAAAGAAGGAACAAAAAACAAACAAGAAATGTCCTCACTACCCGATGCAGCAGAACCACTTGTAGAGATAATGGGTCAAAGGTCAAGAGAGTAAAAGTAAACCATCCACCTTGTTTCCGGATGTAACGTAGGTCAAGGTGTTAGTCAGATAACATTGTGTTCCAGGTTTGTATTCAAACTATAACTAAGGAGTGTAATATAGTTCATGATCGTAACAGCTAATCCCTTATCAAGGTAGGGAGAGGGTCCCCCCTTCCCTTCCAACCACCCCTTCCCTTCCAACCACCCCTTCCCTTCCAACCACCCTTCCCTTCCAACCACCCAATCCCTTCCAACCACCCCATCCCTTCCAACCACCCCTTCCCTTCCAACCACCCCTTCCCTTCCAACCACCCCTTCCCTTCCAACCACCCCTACCTTCCAACCACCTCTTCCAACCCACCCCTTCCCTTCCAACCACCCTTCCCTTCCAACCACCCCTTCCCTTCCAACCACCCTTCCCTTCCAACCCCCCCGCACCCTTCCAACCCCCCCGCACCTTCCAACCACCCCGCACCCTTCCAACCCCCCGCACCCTTCAACCCCCCCGCACCCTTCCAACCCCCCCGCACCCTTCAACCACCCCCGCACCCTTCCAACCCCCCCGCACCCTTCCAACCCCCCCGCACCCTTCCAACCCCCCCGCACCCTTCCAACCCCCCCGCACCCTTCCAACCCCCCCGCACCCTTCCAACCCCCCCGCACCCTTCCAACCCCCCCGCACCCTTCCAACCCCCCCGCACCCTTCCAACCCCCCCCGCACCCTTCCAACCCCCCCGCACCCTTCCAACCCCCCCGCACCCTTCCAACCCCCCCGCACCCTTCCAACCCCCCCGCACCCTTCCAACCCCCCCGCACCCTTCCAACCCCCCCGCACCCTTCCAACCCCCCCGCACCCTTCCAACCCCCCCGCACCCTTCCAACCCCCCCGCACCCTTCCAACCCCCCCGCACCCTTCCAACCCCCCCGCACCCTTCCAACCCCCCCGCACCCTTCCAACCCCCCCGCACCCTTCCAACCCCCCCGCACCCTTCCAACCCCCCCGCACCCTTCCAACCCCCCCGCACCCTTCCAACCCCCCCGCACCCTTCCAACCCCCCCGCACCCTTCCAACCCCCCCGCACCCTTCCAACCCCCCCCGCACCCTTCCAACCCCCCCGCACCCTTCCAACCCCCCCGCACCCTTCCAACCCCCCCGCACCCTTCCAACCCCCCCGCACCCTTCCAACCCCCCCCGCACCCTTCCAACCCCCCCGCACCCTTCCAACCCCCCCGCACCCTTCCAACCCCCCCCGCACCCTTCCAACCCCCCCCGCACCCTTCCAACCCCCCCCGCACCCTTCCAACCCCCCCCGCACCCTTCCAACCCCCCCCGCACCCTTCCAACCCCCCCCGCACCCTTCCAACCCCCCCCGCACCCTTCCAACCCCCCCGCACCCTTCCAACCCCCCCGCACCCTTCCAACCCCCCCCGCACCCTTCCAACCCCCCCCGCACCCTTCCAACCCCCCCGCACCCTTCCAACCCCCCCCGCACCCTTCCAACCCCCCCCGCACCCTTCCAACCCCCCCGCACCCTTCCAACCCCCCCCGCACCCTTCCAACCCCCCCCGCACCCTTCCACCCCCCCCGCACCCTTCCAACCCCCCCCGCACCCTTCCAACCCCCCCGCACCCTTCCAACCCCCCCCGCACCCTTCCAACCCCCCCCGCACCCTTCCAACCCCCCCCGCACCCTTCCAACCCCCCCGCACCCTTCCAACCCCCCCCGCACCCTTCCAACCCCCCCGCACCCTTCCAACCCCCCCCGCACCCTTCCAACCCCCCCGCACCCTTCCAACCCCCCCCGCACCCTTCCAACCCCCCCCGCACCCTTCCAACCCCCCCCGCACCCTTCCAACCCCCCCGCACCCTTCCAACCCCCCCCGCACCCTTCCAACCCCCCCCGCACCCTTCCAACCCCCCCGCACCCTTCCAACCCCCCCCGCACCCTTCCAACCCCCCCGCACCCTTCCAACCCCCCCCGCACCCTTCCAACCCCCCCCGCACCCTTCCAACCCCCCCCGCACCCTTCCAACCCCCCCCGCACCCTTCCAACCCCCCCCGCACCCTTCCAACCCCCCCCGCACCCTTCCAACCCCCCCGCACCCTTCCAACCCCCCCCGCACCCTTCCAACCCCCCCGCACCCTTCCAACCCCCCCCGCACCCTTCCAACCCCCCCCGCACCCTTCCAACCCCCCCGCACCCTTCCAACCCCCCCGCACCCTTCCAACCCCCCCCGCACCCTTCCAACCCCCCCCGCACCCTTCCAACCCCCCCCGCACCCTTCCAACCCCCCCGCACCCTTCCAACCCCCCCGCACCCTTCCAACCCCCCCGCACCCTTCCAACCCCCCCGCACCCTTCCAACCCCCCCCGCACCCTTCCAACCCCCCCGCACCCTTCCAACCCCCCCGCACCCTTCCAACCCCCCCGCACCCTTCCAACCCCCCCGCACCCTTCCAACCCCCCCGCACCCTTCCAACCCCCCCGCACCCTTCCAACCCCCCCGCACCCTTCCAACCCCCCCGCACCCTTCCAACCCCCCCGCACCCTTCCAACCCCCCCGCACCCTTCCAACCCCCCCGCACCCTTCCAACCCCCCCGCACCCTTCCAACCCCCCCGCACCCTTCCAACCCCCCCGCACCCTTCCAACCCCCCCGCACCCTTCCAACCCCCCCGCACCCTTCCAACCCCCCCGCACCCTTCCAACCCCCCCGCACCCTTCCAACCCCCCCGCACCCTTCCAACCCCCCCGCACCCTTCCAACCCCCCCGCACCCTTCCAACCCCCCCGCACCCTTCCAACCCCCCCGCACCCTTCCAACCCCCCCGCACCCTTCCAACCCCCCCGCACCCTTCCAACCCCCCCGCACCCTTCCAACCCCCCCGCACCCTTCCAACCCCCCCGCACCCTTCCAACCCCCCCGCACCCTTCCAACCCCCCCGCACCCTTCCAACCCCCCCGCACCCTTCCAACCCCCCCGCACCCTTCCAACCACCCCCGCACCCTTCCAACCACCCCGCACCCTTCCAACCACCCCGCACCCTTCCAACCACCCCGCACCCTTCCAACCACCCCGCACCCTTCCAACCACCCCGCACCCTTCCAACCACCCCGCACCCTTCCAACCACCCCGCACCCTTCCAACCACCCCGCACCCTTCCAACCACCCCGCACCCTTCCAACCACCCCGCACCCTTCCAACCACCCCGCACCCTTCCAACCACCCCGCACCCTTCCATCCCTTCCCAATAACCCTCACCATGCCACAAGTCCCTGAAGAAGGTACAAGTAGCTAATTTCTGGTGTGGGTCAGGTCGGTAGATGACCATAACCAGAAATCAATAATCGCATTTGAAGCGTTTTTAGGTAACATCCCAAAACCTCTAACATTTTGATACATTGTTTCAAATTGTATCATGGTCGCTACAAAACACGACATCGAAGTTTGTACCGACATCCAAAGTTTTTGGGAAAAGTTTTTTTATTCACATTAAAAAAAGGTCAGTAATAAACTATGCTAATATGATTTTTAATTTCGAGCAAAACATTGGAAAGAGTGCAGGACTGATCTGTAACTTGTATTGTTTACACTTCTCTCCGCTTCGCAAGGCTGTGGGAAGTTTAAATGTCTTTTGACTGAATCTGAGAAATATTTTTTCATATGACTTGGACACCTTGGAAATTCGTTTCAACGATCGTCATGATTGACTTCAAATCTTACCCATATAGAGTGAACATGTACTTGATTTACTGCTAAAAAGGCACAGAAATCTTTTATGCACCTTTTAATTAGTTGTATCAAGGTATTACGATGCCATTCGTATATAATGAAAATAGAAATCCTTATCTGAGAAATATATCTGAAAAATATCGCTCTGATTGGCTGGCCAGAGTATCAAACTGTATCAAATTGAGGGCATACATTTAGATACAAAATCAGTGTTTCAACAGGTTCCAATAATGTACTCGTAAAGGGCAAACATTCTTCAGAGGCTTAATGTTACCGAGAGCGACGGGAGAGAAATGGACACTGCCATCTTTTACCGCAAAATGACGAAAATATCTGCTGCATATCACTCCTCAGAGACTAATTCTACTACACTTAATGACGCATTTTTTTTTCTAATTTGGAGTGAATTGCTAATAGAGGGGGCCTGGGGGTGCAGGCCCTTGCCCCCCTATCTAGCTAATAAGTAGGAGGTAGGAAAGGTTAGGTTTAGAATGTTGAGCTTGCATTATAGCCTACTTTTTGGACTTTGTCTCTGGAGGGTACATCCATCTCAGTAACAAATGTCATCTAAACATGTAACTTATCT